AGGCGGGGCCCAGAGTGTGTGGGGCGGGGCAAAGGCGGGGCCGAGCGCGGGCACCGCCTCCCACCCGCGAGCGCGGGCCCGGGTTGGAGCATGCCCAGTGCGGCGGCGCCCGGACTGACCCAGCTCTGCGCAGCCTCGCTGGCGGCGGGTGCAGGCGGGCCTCTGCCCCGCTGGTCCGCGGGCCCTGGCCTTGCTGCCTCCGCCCTGTGCTCCCGCATCCGCAGTCCCTTTCAGCTGGTACAAGCCGGGCCGCGCCCTCCCCGCCTCTGCCTCCTGCTCTGTGCCTCCGTGTACCAAATGTAAGCCCCTTCATGTGTGCCACCTGCAGATTGCCAGGAGAGGTGTGCAGGCGAGGGAGGGTCTAGAGGCTAAGCACCAGCTGCACCCAGGAAACGTGTTGCTGATGCCCGCTTTGGGGTGGCTGTGTGCGAGCATGGGCCCTACCGCAGAGCAGAACCTGCAGGACCCAGCTGGACACCATTCGGATTCTATACGTGAGCAAATGGGCCTGTGGCAGGCGGTGGCAGTCCCGGGCCCTTCAGGTGCTGCCTGGTTACCAAGACCAAGAGACCAAGACATACCCCAGCAGCCAGGCCCAGCCTCAGGTGGTATTCAGTGAGCACATGGGCGCCAGGCATTGCTTGGTGTTGTGTGGACATTATTATGAGTTTAATTGTGCCCCCCCAAAAAAACAGATTGGAATCCTAATCCCCAGTACTCAGCATGTGACCTTATGTCAGTATAGGGTCTTTTTACAGAGGCAACACGTTGAAATGAGGTCATTAGGGTGGGCCCCGAATCCAACAGGCCTGGTGTCCTTATAAGCAGAAGGCCACGTGAAGACGAGGTTGGGGTGATGTATCTACAAGCCAGGGGACCACCAGGAGCTGGAAGAGGGCTGGGAGACCTCCTTCCCGACCACCGTCAGGGAGCGTGGTCCTGTCCACACCTTGATTTCAGACCCCTGCCGTTCAGAAACGTGAACTCCAATACATGCTTGCTGTTTGAAGCCACCTGGTCTGTGTGACTTTTTATGGCAACCCTAGGAAACAAAACAGACACCTTGTATCTAACTTGATTGGCGTAATGACCCCAATTAGCAGCATCATCCCCTGAAGCTTCTGGGAGGTCACACACCCTTTGGCAATTTCAGGGGTCCCATCCTGGGCCCACAGGTCCTAAGCTGCCAGGCTATGGGCCTCCTAGGTTCTGTTCGTTTTTGTTTTTGTTTTTTTTAGCTGAGCCATCCTGCCACCTGTTGGCAGCTCCGTGGCAGCTCAGCTCAGGCTGGGAATCAAACCACTGTTGCTCAGAGCTCAAACTCTTGAGCGAGCTCTTAACCAACTGAGCCACTCGGCCGGCCCCTCGGTTCTGTTTTCTTAATAGGAAGGACATCCTTGCCTTCCCAGTATGTACAACTCCTCTATTGGGATTTATGCCAAAGTTTACACCTTGGTATTTGTGATTTGCGTGACCCAACGTATTAACATCAGCAATAAAACGTTGTTCAGAGGGCCCCAGCAGTGTTTGTGTGGTAACGAGCTCCAGTAACTCCCTATAGGCTGCGTCGTGGATCCTCTCAGCCCCTCGCCCCCAGACCAGGCCACACCTTGGTGGAGACACGTTCAAAATAGCTGCTCATGGAAAAGGAACTAGGTCCTCGGTACACAGTGCTGATCAAATCAAGGCACTTCTGCCACAGGCCTGGACACAGCGTCGGAGCCCTTCTCCACACGGCTCCAGTCACAGCATTCAGGGTCAGATGGCAGTGGGGACGAAACACCTTCGCCATTTGCTCTGGTCTTTTCTGTTAGCTCACTGTGAATTTTTGGAAACTTTTAATTACCCTAATCCTCAATTTCATCATCTGTAAAGGATTTTTATAATAATCTACTCCAGGCAGGGTGTGTACCTAGGGGAGTAAGTGTCAAGGACAGCAATGCACCCATCCCCCTATGGTCTGTCACTGCTGGGACCCAACAGAACAGAAATAACCCCAAAGCAAAAATAGCTCCAAAATGGAATCAGGATGCCGGCTGCTATCCTCACGTGTGTGTTGTGATGTAGTTTGACAATTCATGTATAAATCCTACTTTTCTTTTTAGCTGAATTGTATTTTGATATGAAATCCTAAGCCATTAATAAAAAGAGATCAGCTAGTGTTAGCATCTCTGATTCCCAGGCCGGGAAAGAAAGGGCAGCGTGGTGATGCAGTGGCCCTTGAGGTGAATTCCATGGCGTTGGGGATGGCAGGGAAGAGAGAGAGAGGAGGGTGCGGTATCCAGGGGACACACCTGGACCTGGCTGTGCTGGCAGGATGCAGTCACCCTTGCTGGGGGCATTGAGGACCACTGCCTGCCTTCACAAGCGGTTCCAGGGTCAGCGACCGGAGGACCGGCCCCAAGGAAGACCTAGACTCTGGAATGTGGTGTCTCACACCCTCCAGTGAGCAGAACTAAAATCCGCAGCCCCTGCACTTGCTGTTAAGTTGTCCCCTTCTTGGGGATAATTTTCCAATACTGAAATTGTTTTGTCAAAATGCCTGTCCCATCACACAGCACTCACCCATGTGCACTTCCTGTTGATACAGCAACACAAGCACAGGGCCACAGCAGGGAGCCAGCCAGGTGTGTAAGGGGCACAGGCTCAGGAGCTCGGGTGGCAGCGGCCAGTCTGGCATCCTTCAAGCCACCGGACTTCTCTGTAGGACGACGGTGTTGTGCTGGGTGGGCGAGGTCCCTCTGGGGCTCCCATCTTTGAATGAAAATATCCTGTTCTTCTCCGGACACAGGTTCCATGAATGACAGTTTACAGATGAGGTGGAGGACCGCAGGACCAGCCTCACCTTCACTCTGACGTCTTCGCGGGCCCCTGTGGGTGCCCATAAGATTGGCCAGCTCCTCGTGGGCTCTGGGGACAATGTCAAACATCCAAATGGGTACCTTTCAGGTGAAACAGAGGAACACGTGGTGGTTTCTAGTGATTTGCAACCCAAGAAATGTGTTTAATATGCCTCTCTTTCCATGCTACTTTCGTGACACGAGAGACCATTTACAACAAAGCTGTCTACAGTGGTCAAACTCAATTCCCTGGACGCTGCCGTTGGGAGAAGAGGGGGATTTATAAGGATCCCATAAAACCTTGTATGATTTGAAAGCCCCCCAACCCTGGACAAATGCAGAGAGTCATGTAACAGACGTGCTGGGTAGCTTGCCATCCCCAGGATTTTACGTGCTGTGTTCTCTTCGGATGGCGTCTCCAGTGGAGAGCTTCGCGGATTAACACAATTGATTTTCTCAGCCCCCATGTTCCTGTAAAGTTGGAGCCAGGAGCCTGCCAGACAGCACCTTGGACCGGGGTGGTGCAGCCAAGCAGCGTGTGAGGGCAGGGGCGGGGTCCCAGAGTGGTCTGGAGGAGGGGGGTAGGGGCCGTCAGGACCAGGGGCTGGGCAGGCTGCGTTTGCACTGCTAGGCCTGGGTGGCAATCTGGAACAGTGAGCATATCCAGGAGGTGTGCTGGGGGCGGTGGGGTCACAGAGGAGAGCCCCTCCCTGTAGCTAGGATCCCCCTGCGTGCCTGGCCCTGTGGCCCCCCATGTGGGACCTGTTGAACAGCCAGGATGTCTGCTACGGTTGAGGGGACGATGAAAAGAAAGGCCTGGAAGAGAAAATGAACGCCCCACTTTCTATTAGGGGAAATCCCCAGGCAGGAAAGACCGCTGTTATTTGTGGAACACGGACCCAGTTGTCCAGTAATTGTTGGACAAAGCCCTCCCTCCCGCAGTGTGGCAGCTTCAGAGAATGGAATGTCCAGAGAATGCGAGTGAGAGAGAGGCCCTCTCCGCTGTGCATGTCTCTGGGTGGACTGGCTTAGAGACGGCCCTCTGCAGAGGTGACCGCTCTGAGGTCATTTTCCCGGCCTGCCTTGGGCTGTCTGAGTGTGGACCACTCAGGACCAGGGGTTCAGTTAGATGTCAGCCTTTCTGAAAGCGGTTCCTACACTCATTACAAAGTGTTTTTGATCCATTTTCGGGCAGGGCTTTGTTTGTAACACGTTGTTGGCAGTTTGGGCAGGCTCTTTTAAGTGGTGTGAAGTGCTGGGGAGTGTGCACCTGGCACCAGGGGGAAGGGGGTCTCCCCGCCGCACTGCCTTCTGGGATGAGCTACAGCGCCTGGTTTCCTGTGACTTGGAAATTAAAGGAAGAGACGTGGGGATTTGATGCTGAGATTGTGGTTTGTCCTTCCCAGCACCTGGGAAACTAGAAATGAGAATTAACAGGAAAACCAGCCATACCTAGTGCACTGAGCCATCGATTTAAAATAACACAAGGCCAAAATGGTAAGAGTGATAGACACGCGAGTGGCTGAGTCGCTGGTGATGATGGTGCGGGTGGCTGTCTGTCCAACTGCCCCATTGTCTGTTAGCATGAGATGACCCAGTTTAATCTGGAGAGTTAGGAAGGACAGAGCGTGAGGTCCCCGAAGTGGTCCCTCCACATCCCACCAACAGCCACTGGAGGCAAAGCCCTGCTTGGTCCGGGAGGCCGCTGGACGGGAGCAGGATGGACTTCCCACTCCTGGTCAGGCAGGGAGGGGAGTTGTGAAGGTAGAGAGTGGTCACTCCCCAGGGAGGGGCATTGTGCGGT